TCGAAGCTCGATCTCAGCAGAAGAGAACGCTTGAATCCCGTTGTACTGCAACCGCTAGGTCTTATACGACGTTGGGCATGATATAGTCCACGAGACCTCCTCCCTCTTGGATAATGAATAAATATTTGAAATTTCCGGGAAGGTTAACTTGATCTAATTGTCAATGCAATCGTATAGTTGGAGGTTTCATGACGGCACCAGGGATAGAACTATAGTTAATAGCAGCAAATCAATGCAAAGCAGACTTTCGACACCAATTTAATCTCCTTATCTTAGCCAATGAAGAAAAGCTTACGAAAAAGAAAAGTAGTTTACTGCTGGCAATCGGAGGAAATTTAGAAGACCATTTCAAAAATCTTTCGGTCAGAGACGAACCTACATCTTTATTTCATACTTAGGATTACATTTTAGCAAAGATTATCCATGCTAGTGAGTTTCGATTATGTTTTATTTGTTTAAGCGTATGTTTATAATCAGATAATATATACGCAATCGGATAGAAAAATCCAGATTTGGTTTGGAATAGATAATTAGGGGGAATAGTATCCATCAGTCTGATCACATTTATTCAATAGAATCTAACGGACAAGTTCTATGAGAGCTAAGGTCGCCAAAGTAAGCCAAAGCTTCTATAGGCTAATCACTGGACTGAATTTATTAAAATAAGCTTAATTTTACCTCTTTAAAGATGGCTCTACATAGCTCTCGAATTTTGGCTAAGAGTTTTAAAACTCAATTACAACGGCTGCGGGATCGACGAGTAGCTCGTACGCCACGTAAACTAGTTTACGTCGCGACTTAGTGTCAATCTGTAGTCTCTGAAGGCTATTTATTTGTTAATAGCTACGAGAGAATCTGCCTTTAGTGGCATTTTAATATTTGTACCAAACAAGTAGAGAAAGAATTGAACTCAACGTTATTTAATGAAATTTTATTAAAATTTGAATTTCCATTAAGATCCTCTAAAAGATCTAAAATAAGGAGGGAATTTATCTGGATTATTATCACGCCTGAATTGCAACTAAGGTTCCGTTGCACAGCGTGTGATGAAAGAGAATGGAAAATAAGTGCGCTAATTTGAGGTGATTCGAAGGTCGAAAGAAAAGAGTTGAGGATGACAGAAAATATATTTTTGCTTTAGGCGAATAAGTGGCGCAATGAAGTTAGTTAAAGAAGAGGGGTTCGCTTATCCTTTGCTTGAAGCGTAATTTAACCTGAGGATATCTATATATATATATATATCAGAGCTCAGTCAATAAATATTTAGAAATCTCGTAAGCGGCAGTGTAGGTTGTGATCAATTTCCTTTCATTCTTATGTTACTACATGGTAGTAAATGTTTTAATCTTGGACATACGTAAAACAACGATGCTTAAATGCTTGGTTTACCCACCGTTTATTTTTCAATCTTGTCTCTCATACTACAGAATATATTTAAAATTTTCTTATAAATCATTCTTAAGTGCTACATCATTCATATCAGGCAATTTCTACTACGACAACTAATTTTATCCCAGTTTCATTGTTTAATAGCTATTTACATGTTTATTGGCTTAAACTTCTTCTGGATAGTAGTATTAGGTTAATTTATCTGTGTCCATATTATAAGGCTTTAGAAAAATTAACACTTTTTCATGGAGGAAGTATGTTAATGTCAATAAAGTAACTTTATTTTTTTATTACAAGGACGGATGAACTCTTCATACTTTAATAAAAGCTTAGGTGAACCTTGACTATAGATCAATTTCAAACTACAGACCATTAAGAATCTACTCACAGCAAGAATGCTAAAAGAATCTTTTAAAAATAAATTAAAGCAGTTTTTGGATTGCTAAAGCCTAAAAACCTATGAGTTGTTTCCTAACTCGATCTCATTATTTAAATAATCCTTAATTTTACTTTTAAGTACTTATAGGTCTTATACATTGATATATTCTTTTATGACAATCTCATTTTAACAATAAAAGAGTTTTATTTTAACATTTTCTATATTTCAGCTTCATTTCGTTATTTTTTCGATAGTAAATGAGGCTTGGCTGATTTAATGGTTTTCTTGAAGTAACTTATAGTGTACCGTCACGCCAGTCTTCTTTATTTTTTCCGTATAGCTTTGCTTAAATTTATACAAACAAAACGTGAAATTTAGCAAGCTCTCTTTGGTCCTAATTGCTGATTTGAGTCATATGCACGTCGCCCTATGCATTCATATAAATTCGGACACTTTTAGATGAGCGCCAGCCTTTGACTTAATGGCTTTTGTGCGTTTCGGTAGGAGATTTAGATTTAAGTTGGTATCTCATTGGTAGGCTCGTATTTTGGCATTTTTAAGGCAGCATGACTTCCTGGATTTTCTTCAAGAAGTTCCATTAGGAAAGGATTATTCTGCGATTCAAAACAAATAAAATATAAATATTAACTTTTTTTGCAGTTAATCATTTGACGGTTCCTAAATATATAGTTCTTTGCCAGTAAATAGCATAGATTTTCATTATTCTCTCCTTCTATTCATTAAGTGTAAGTTTAAAATATAATAATTCTCTGTTGCTTTACCTTCGGGTCTAAATATTTAATTAAATAACTAAAAGCCTCTTATCTTTTTTTAAAGCTTAGGGTGCAAGCTTTGAAAAAATACATACATTTAGAGGAAGCTCTTTGATAGGCTACAGCTCTATTAATTTTCAAAAGTGTCTGATTCTAAAGAGTCAGCTATAGCACTAGAGGGCTGAAGCTTATTTGGTCTTTTGTATTTTGCATCCTTTTTTGCTAAGTAGGGTTGACTAATCGCTTGTTTGTTGTTTGATTGATGATTAACATTCTTCAAATTGATTCATCAATCTTAGTTACTGGAAAAATTTATATACTATTTCTTTATACAAATTCACTTTTTGACATAAAGATACTACTTTTATGAAGCAAAACTTGTTTTTCCAAGTTAGAACAAAAATTACTATCCTTAACAAAAATAATAAATAAACCATTAAATAAATCTTTGTCATTATAAACATAGATTAGAGTCGTTATTACTTAAAGGCATTTCTAATAAAATGCCTATTGTCAATGATCAATAAATATAGGTTATATGAATAAATTCCAGTTAATTAAAATTAGTTCCGAGTCAAAGATGAGGGTTATATTTGTCGTTATTTTGCTATCCACTCAAAATACACTGTATGTTTGCATCAGCTTTCTCCCATCGTTACGCTCAGATGCATTCAAATTTGATTTGCGCATATACAGAAGCATATACATATTTTTGTGGAACGATTATATTCGGCTTAGGGTGACTGCAAAAACTAAATGATTATTAAGAAGTAGGCTTATCTCAGCCTGAGAATATTGTTGTATATGTCTCGATGGCTTAGAAATAACTATGCTAACGCAGCTGCTATTTTGGTAAAGTTGTCTAATATAGATTGTTTATTTGCTAATGTTTATTTTGAATCAAGCAAAACATATATGATCCGCCATAAATTAATAAAAATAAAATCCCTCCCAAAGTGATCGCTTGCTCTTTGCTTACTCACATAATCACTGATTCCTGGAATATAGGGTCACTTTAACTCAAGAATAGCACGACAAACCCTTTGTCATGCCTTGATTCCTCAAGGAAATATTTGGTAATTTGTCAAAGGTGCATTTCCTTAATGCTGAGGCAAATAAGAAGCTGGAAGTGATAACATTTAGATATGGTTGTAATATAAGTGTGCGTTGTCATTTGACATATTTCGTCTAAAATTGGTCATAGCCAAGTAAGCTTTATGCCTAAAACTACTTATGCAATGAACTTAGTGAGTACCTCATTGCATTTTTTAAAGTATGAACCCATCGACATAAATGCCACTTTTAAGTTTTATTAATTTTTAATAATTTTTCTTGCATCAGCCCCATAATGCAGTATAAAAGATTCCGAATAAGATAAAACAGATCATCATATCAGCTTAATTTTATGTAAACAAGGATCAATGCTGCTAACTATTTATCCATATTTGAAATTTCCTTATTTCGAACTATGTTGAATGATTATTTATAGGCTTGTTGTGACAATGCAAGACTTAGCGAATGAAACTTGAATAACTTTATCCCTTCCTTCATCCTTCTTTTTTAAAATATTTTTTGACCCTATTGGGCAGTATTTTTCGCTTCAACTAGACCTTAGATACACCATTAATTGGATTTTAATCTAGATGATCGGCATTAATAAGCAAATAATTTATAGCGAAGTTATGAATAACAATTCACATCGAGTTAGATGAAAAGTGTTAATTTTAAAGCAAGCAAGTCCTCCATTAATTTAACGGATATTTTTGCATATTTTTGTCTCAAGGTTTTAGAAATAAATTGTAATGTCAAATAATGAAATTTATTAATTAGTCTTAATCGTATGAACCACTATTTTAACAAAAAATATAAAGCAAGTTAAATTACTGTAAAATTTCTGTAGGATAAAGAGTAAGCTTACTTGGATAAAATTGGATTATTTAAAACTAACTATAATGGATCATATTATGAACGTTTTATGATGTTCAGTAAATAATTATAATCTTTAATGGAAATATTTGCTCTATTTGTACAGATTTTTTATCCGAATATTCATCATTAACTATTCCATTTTTTAAACTTCAATCAGAGTCATAGCTGTTGCAGAATTGAAAATAAGCTCAAACTGTCATAAGAAAATTATTTAAAAGGCCTTCTAAGGAAATTAAAGATAGTAGAAATTATATTAAGAAAGTTATATAATGACGCCTAAGAATTCTTGAAGTCCTGTTGAGTTTTTTACGTTTTTGCAATCTTTATTGCTTTTTCTTAAGAAGGTTTATTTAGCATATATATAGCCTGTAATTAGATTTTTTTAATATCACCAGTAAAAGCCTAGCTTGTGCAGTTCTTTTTCCTGGTTTACACCGAACATTAACTAATTTTCATTGCTCATCCTTGAACTAGTCATATACTATTGTTGCTATCAATGAGCTTTAGATAAAATATGAAATCCCAGCGCAATGTACTACAGTGACTGTCTAGTAAGCCCTTTAAATACATTATTAATATCATATTCTGTAAAAACCATTAAAGGAGTTTAGCAAGTGAAATTCAGGTCATATTTATCTAATGCAAACATTAAAAAAGGTTTCGTAATTAGCAAACTAAATAATCTTTGGAACAACCCAGTTAAACTTCGCAACTTTTACCATAATAAGAAATTTTAATCTTGTTTTTTTCAAATTTGCTTTAAAAATCTATTCATACCTAGTATACATCTAATAATACAAAACAAGTCACCATATTACACTATACCATACGCGGTGATTGAAAAAGAGTCATACTCGAATATCTAATTCTGATTGAGACTTTTATATGCCTAGATTCTACTAGCAGACTAAGTGTGAATAAAATGCAAATTCTATGGAAACCAAATAAACTACAGTTCTTATGAACTGCAATCATATCACCATTGGTCGAATTTAGCAATGCCGCGCAACATTTTTAAGGACCTTCTTACTAAATAAATGAATTTGTATATTTATATATTATAATGAAATATGAATGGACTTAAAAAATGAATCTGGAAGATAAAACAGTTATTTATAATAACACGCGTGAAGGATATTCACTCTTTTAAAATAAAGCTGATAATAATTTGCAAGAATTCCTATTTTTCGTACACAAACTAGATACTAAAAAACATTCAATAGATGTGCTCAAATACTTCATATATCAATTTTAAGTGTAATGAAGTAGAATATTCATATCTCATTCCAAGAAAGGCAGCTCTGCAAAGTTTTGAAAACTTCATTAAGTTTATCTCCGAAATGCATAAAAGTTGCCTATCAATTTAAAAGGAAACATGACGATATTAGTTCAAGCAAGCTCTTCATTTATGGAGGCCTAAGACTAGGTTCAAGGCAATCAAGACAATACCACAGTCTCTAGTTTATTATTCAATAAATTTTGTAATTTATTTACTATGAAAATATTAACGTAATAGGATTAAGGATTGAGTACAATTAAGTAGTCTATATTTACTCCTTAAGCTAAGGCATTATTCTTTCCAAGCGAGATATACTAAACTTTATTCTCAATTTTAATAAACTTATTTAAGGTTATTTTTGTAAATGAGAATATAATCATTTAAAAGTTAGCCCTATATTGTAATAGTTGTGGGAACATAGGAGTTGGATTCTTATTTAGTTATGGATCAAGTGTATGGATAAAGTATCATTTTTAAACTATGTGATATGAACCATCTAAATTGGCTCAATCCTTTTGTTACAAACTTTTTAAACTCAATAATATACTTGACAATACATTTAAATATGAAAAACTCAGTGCGTAAAGATCCGGAGCTCTTTCTTTTTCAATGCTTTATAGGCCGACATTAATGCAAACCGCATTGCTTACGTGTATACAGGCCCAAGGCTATCTACAGATGAGACATTGACGCGTGATGGGGTGCCAGGATATCGTTTTATTGCTCATGACGTCATTGTGCTCAAGATTCAACCTCCTACTTCTGGTGTTGGCTCCCAACTGTCCCAAAATCAGATTCAAGAAACGAAAGAGCCCGTTGTTTCTTTAAAGGGTGATTCATCTCGCAAGAGTTCCTCCGGACGGACAGCATCTATACCATTGTATAACCTGTCAGTGCAATTGGCTGTTTCTGTTAACCTCCGACATGTAACAACGTTTAATCAGGCCCGACTTTGCCTGATTCAACCAAGAATGAGGTCCAATGTTCTTTGCCCGCAGACTTCAGAGAAATATCAGGGCATAATTGTTCGGGAAGGTGGCTTCGTTGTTATCGACAGTGGGCTCCTTAATAGGGAGAACTTTTTTGCTTATTTGAAAGCAATGGTAAACTATGTAAGTAATCAGAGAAAAAATATCTGCTTTTTTAATCAACCTCTAATAGACGCAGAAAAAAGTGGATCCTGAATAGTTTATATGAGTCATATAAATATGGTTTTATACTGATTTATTTTATTCAAGTGTTTGATCTATTTATTTGATATAATAGAATTTTAGTTAAATGAAACGACCTAGAAGTGCTTTATAATGTTTAAGCAAGTACATATATCTATTATGATAATAATTGGATTTGAAGCTGTTGTTAAAGAGCTTCATCCTTTAATTCTTTAAAATTCATTGGAGTGAGCTGTCTAAAACAATAAATAAAGTTGAAAATATTATATTGCATTTTTCTCGGACGCCAAAAGTAATATGAACAATTAAAGCTTTTATTTGGTCTTCTCCGACATGAAGTGTTATTTAAAAACTTATCTCAGAGGGACGCTGAGTTCTAAATAATATTATTTGAATCCTAAAGGAATAATTGACAGTGAATTAGCCCTACAATCAAATATAAATAGATGAATTATGCTAAAATCAATGTCTTTTTGTGTATATTTCCTTTAAGTCGTATTTATTTTTATAAAGTATTTTGTATACCTTTACGCAACCCTGCTTAGTTGGATCAGCTGCCTTGGTAAGAGTCATTTCTATGCTGATAGCCATAAAATGATAGCCATACATTTGAAGCGATATATCAGAGTTTAATTTAACGTTTAAAATAGTAAATAACAAGTGTGATAATAATATAGGCATAAAACAGAAGCAAGATTTTTCTAAGGCATATAAAATGGAGAGGAAATCGAGGCTTAGTTAAATCATGCCTAAATCATAATTAAGC